ACCATAGATGCTCTGTAGGATTCTCAGGAGAATTTTAAACTTGAACTTTAAGTGGGTTTCCTGTGTACAAAAAATGGCTTATGTTTTAAGTAACACAGTGCTGAAAAGTGAAATGCTTCAAGCCAGCCAGGACTATTTTGGACAACTGCCCTGTAAACATCGGTCCTGTATTTCAGGCAAGGAATGGTTCACATTCTGTACTAGCTCAGTAATAGGTTTTTCCAAGAAGTGCCCTGCAATTCACTGTACATGCAACTTTAAGGAAACCAAGAAGAAACAAATGAGCAGAACGCTGGCAAAGTTTTCTAGAGCCTGAGCTCATGGAATCGAGTAAGTAGTCGCCTCAAGAGTACCTTACTTTATTATCACTGGGAGGTCTGAGCTGCTCTACAACCTTTTCTCATCAACATCAAGCTCTCATAAAAACACTTATTTTGTGTTTGTGTGCGTGAGGTGTGCACGGGGGTGTGTGTGTACCACAGTGTGTGAGTGGTGGTCAGAGGACAACACACGGGGCACGGCTCTCTTGTGCCGCCATGCATACCCCGGGGGCTGAGCTCAGGGTATCAGGCTCAGTGGCACCTTTACCTGCTGAGACGTGTTGCCAGCTCGGATCCCTATCCTTAACTGTTTAAGCAACCTTAGCACAACTAACCGCTTCTAAGTGTGTACAACTGCAGTGAATTTCTTTCTTTTGCTCACTCCTCTACAGCGATTCTTCAGAACAATCTTGATGTGACCACAAAGAAATCTGGAAAACAGAACAGCTACAGAATTAGAATGGAGAATTAAAAGTCACAGAAATGCAAGTTCCCTCTCTCAGGAGTTACTTCACAAAGCTATTTTTGAGGCAAGCTACTTATTTTTTCTACTAACCTATTATAAATTTGAGAACAGGCAGACTGCTCAGCAAAATGTCTTGCTTGTCAGGATTGCTACATTGTTGCTTTTGCAGACATACTTTTCATGGCGCTGCTAACTGTTGTTACCAAGACAAATGGGGTTTGCCAAAGGCAAATCTTTGCCAGTTTAAGACTGCAGACATGCGCACTAAATGTCTCAACTCTGCAGATTATAAAACAGACCACAGCATTCGCAGAACACATTTTCCCCCTAACCCCAACCCCTCTGAGTCCACAGTGGGGTGGAGTAATGAGGTCACTTGGCAAATGATTTGCATTAATTTATTTATTTGCCTACATCAGAAAAGCAGTCTTTCTCTGATGTAGGTCAGCCAGTGTTTGGAAATCACATTATGTAAGTCAGGAAACCCAAGGGTTTCATTAAAATGAGCTTCCATCTGTAAAACACACCAAACAGATACATATTAGCACGTGTGGGCTAGCCAGTAGACTACCCCAGCTGCAGAAGGAATCTGGAAGCATTTCTACTCTGAACTGGCCAACTCACATTCTCCACAACAGCTTTCAAACACATTCTCTGAATGTTTATAAAGATCTCCAGATATTCTGAGCTACATTTATCTACATTTAAAGAGCTCGGGGATAAGGCCTGTGTTTAGCATGTCCAAGGCCCAAGATTTGGTCTGCAGCACCATGAGAAAATTAAAAACAAAACTATACCCCATTATTTACAAAAATTTGAGGCCATTATCCACCTTGGCTGCAGCACCGTGGCGCTGCTGATGTCTGTACCATATAACAGGGGCGGGTTGTGACTCACTACGTTGCTAAGCGCAGCAGGATATGATCTGTAGTTTTAAAAAACAAACCTGATCCAATCGGTGAAGTGAAAAGGAGAGGAAACTCACTGTGGCTTAAAGTAATAAGAAAAGTTGTCAACCATTTGCGTAAGTGTGTACCAGTCAGTAAGTGGCCTTTGGAACATGGCTTTCCTATGTATATATTATTTTTCAGTTTTTACCTAAGTCATGAGTGCTTACTTCTCTCCCCAAAACACTCTTTGGTGTTTATAACTCGATACCTGGTCTTCTTGCTTTTGAATATGATACTGCTTAAGGGCTGACTGTGGACATGGGTTTGAAATCCTAAAAAAAGCCGGTACGATCGATCAACAAGCCCAGGAAGGGGTAGGCGGATACTGCTACCAGGAAAAGAGCAGGTGAAAATGACAGAGAGCAAGATGGAGAAGGAAGACATCACAAGCAGGCCACGCCCACGTGTCCATCACTAGGGAAAAGAGCAAACACTGAGCAGGCACAAACTGTTGGAGCACCTAGAGTGGCCACCGCCTCTTATGTCACCTCCTGCTCCCTTCTCTTTGTTATGTTTACATTGTCCCTTATCCCCCCTGTCAGAATTGCTGCTCTTCAGTCTCCCTTGACTCTAATACCTTGGCATAAATGTTTATTAGACAATAGTATTTATTGATTGAACAAGTCAAATAGAGCAATACCCAATTAAAGAGCCTTGGTTCTCAAGTCTCGTCTTCACAGTGACATCACTGCCTTAAAGGAAGATCCTTCCAAGGACCCACTGGCTGAGGAAGCCATTCCAGCCCCTACCCCCAGCAGACAATGCTGGGCTCCTCTTTCCCAGTGGCTATAAAATAGGTCTCTGGTTCTTGAAAGAACTTGAGCAGAACAGCTGACTTCGTGCCTGAAACCCAGTGCCCAGTCCCGCGCTCAGGTAAGAACTCTCTAATAAGGTTAGCACAGGTTCTTGAACAGTAACCTGTTTAGCTTCAAGATCTTAACCAGGTTTGTGATTCTTGAATCAAGCAACACTGCATAAAATAGGTGCTCTACTGGGCTGCAGAGTGAAGTTAGTTTTATACTCAGCAAAGGCTGCAAAAAGCACGAAGAACAAAAAGTGGATTTGTTATTTCAAGGCTAATTCCCTTGAGGTGGGTGGGAGAACATTTCTATAGTACAGTGCTTGCGTGGTATGTGTGAGGCCCAGACTTCAGTTCCCAGAACCATAAAAACAAAACAATAATCTGGGGGCTGGAGAAATGGCTCAGTGGTTAAGAGCACTGGCTTCTTTTCCAGAGGACCCCAATTTAATTCTCAGTACCCACATGTCCGCTCACGACTCCAGTTCCATAGGGTCCAATGTCTTCTTCTGGGCACCGCGGACACTGTACTTACATAGTACACAGACATACATGCAGGCAAAACACACATACACATAAAATTAAACAACAACAATCCCCCTAAACCTACTTTCTATGTAAGGAGACAAAATATCATAGGTTATTTCGTGTAATTTGTTTTTGCAAAGATTAAAGCAGAGGAAACCTCATTATTAGGCCTATTAAAATGTTCCTATTGGGGGAATTACTTCTTATTGTTACCTTTTATTTCTGAGAAACCAAATAACTTAGTCTTGATTGGTTGCCTTTGGCCAGAGTAACTTTTAGCCTGGTCTGCTGGGACCCTGAGCAGTAGCCTCCTACAGTTTTTATGCAACAAAAGCAATTATCAAACAAACACTTAATGAGATGCCACTTTTGAGCCGAGCACTTTGCTGGATGTTACAGGGTGAGCAGAAAGAACTTTGTCCTCAAAGCTCTCAGCCTATGGGAAAGACAAAAATCATTTACTCAGGGAGTTCAAGGCTAGCCGGACTCCATGAGATTTTTGTCTCTCTCTCTCTCTCTCTCTCTCTCTCTCTCTCTCTCTCTCTCTCTCTCTCTCTCTCTCTCTCTCTCTCACACACACACACACACACACACCCCACAACACAGAAGTGTGCTGGGAACAATGATAGGGATACCCAGAAGAGACATCTAGACCACATTTGGGAGGCAGTGGGATGAGGCAAGAATAGGAAGCTTTTTAAACTGAGACCTCAAGAATGGAGAAACGTTAGACAAGCAAACCCAGAGGAGTCTAGGCAGAGTGTGGTCACAAATCCTGCTTCAGTCAACTGTGGTGGTGCACACCTATAACCCCAGCACTACAGAAAGTGGAGGCAAGAACACTCCAAATTTGGGGCCAGCTTAGAGAAGCAATTTAGAAAAATCTGGCCTAACGCTTCTTTGTACAGAGTTACATTTCATTTTCCTTCACAGGCTGTTGTGTGAGGCCTCCTTATACAGACTCACTGAATTCCTGTTTGGTGCAAGAAACAGTAAATGTCATAGGCAACCAAAACGGTCAGATAGCACTCTATCACTGCATTGACCATTATTTACGCACAGAGAAGTTTGTAAACACCTGGGAATTGTTTACTCCACACCAATAACACCAGTCCACGGGTCTGCCAGCCCATGGGTCTTTGACTGAGACATCCACTGTGTTGCACAGAACTAATCAGCCTGGCCCTGATACGCTGCTCACAACATTTAAAGTCACACGTATAGGAGGCTGGAGAGATGGCTTGTGGGAAAGAGCTTGCATTGCTCTTCTGGAGGACATGAGTGAGGTCCCTAACACCCTCATCAAGCTGTCCCTGCAGCCTCAGATCTGACACTCAGGCCTCCATGGGCATTTGAACTCATGTAACCCATAATCAACACCCACATAGACATAACTAAAATAATACACATTTTTGAAAAATCAAATTTGTATGTAATTTTTTGACAGGTTGTTATGGCTTTAAAATACTACTTTATAAACTGGTCATGATGGCACCCACTTTTAATCACAGGACCCAGGAAGCTGAGGCAGGAGGATCATGGGTTCAAGGTCAGCTTGGGCTATATACATCAAGAAAGACCCTGACTCAAACCAAACCAAACCAAAACCTATATTCTAGTCAAAGCTATACTTTTAAAGTGAAAGGGCTACAACAAAATCTTTAAAATAATGTTGAGCTGGGGCTGCGGCCCAGTGCCAGAGCACTTGCAAATCATGTGTGAGGCAGTGTTCCACCCCATCCTGGGGCCCCCAAATAATTTTCAAATACACCACCCCAGACAATCTACTGCGCTAAGTGTCTCTCACTTTACCTTACACCACACAAAGCTGATTTCCCTCCAGAATAACCAGCAGAATTTGTCACATTGCCAGCGACCTGCTCCAGTGCAGTTCATTCTGGATCCCAACTCCCCCAGCATTAGGAGACTCAAAATACCTGCTGCTCCAACACTGGACGCTTCTGCCTTCACGGTTCCATGAAAGTTGAGACCCGCCTTGGAAAGCAAGTTCAGTTCTACTTTTTTCAATTTCTAATTAAATAGAACCCAAACAATTCTTTTTCAGTGAAGTGAAAAATTAATGAAATCATTCCATGTTTCAGCAAGGAAGTTGCCCCAGCAACTCCAATACTGCCCAAGGAATGTCCCATCCAGGAAAGAAAGCTTTGACGCCACCCGCTAGAGTCAGTAGCCGGGGCAGGCAGGTAGACTGTGAAAATTTGTTTTCCTTCAGTAGTTATGGTGGAGTGACAAAAGCATTCTTTACCGTTTCTTAGTAATTAAATGTCACCTCAACAACCAAAACAAACCCCAGGGTAACCCGCGGTGTGGTTGTGTTATTTTTGCACCATGGCGCCCAACTGTATGCTTTACTTCCCTTTATGAAGCCAGGAGGCAAGTCACTCCCACAGAGAAGGTGGCAAACCAATGAGAACACTCCAACTCAGTTACTAACATGTCCATGATTTCGCTTTTAGACTTCTAGCCACGTAAACTAGTATTTTACTTTGTCTTTTCTGTTCAGAGTCAAAAGCATTTAGACCAGTGATGCTCAACCTTCCTAATGCTATGACTCTTTAATACAGTTCCTCATGTTGTGATGATCCCCATTAGTTTTGTTTCTACTTCATAACTGCAATTTCACTACTTTTATGAATCATAATGTAAATATGGGTTTTCTGATGGTCTTAGGTGATCCCTTGTTGAAGGGTCACTTGACCCCCCCAAAATGGGTCATGACCCACAGGTTGAGAACCGCTAAATGCCAGCCCTCTGCTGGATGCTATACTTCCCTACAGCAACCCAATGAGGCAGCATTGATAGGAGTCCACTTACAGGGAAAACGGAGGCACTACAGAATCCTTGGCTTATGCAGACTTCAGCAGTGTAGAATGATTTTAAACCCAGTCTTTTCACTCTGAAATCCTAAGTGTTTTTCTACCACATTATACTCTTATGAGACAGTTTTGAGATAGTCAAGTATTTCTAAATGACTAAAATTTTTGTATGGTAACTTGTTTTAGCAATATAGTTTTTAGCCTTATTCTGTTCTGGGAGCTGAGCCCAGGCCAAATCTTTACCACTGAGTCAAAATCCTGTTTCTGTGCAAAATGATGTTATTAGTAAATGAAGTATGTTCAGCCCTTCCCTTAGTACTCAGGAAACAGAAGCATGAAGAGCTGTGTTATGGCCCTGGTTGGGATTTATTTTTCTTCTTTCTAAATTGAAAGGATGGAGCTCAGAGTCTCGAGGAGGAGAGGTGAAGTTGAGGTAACAGGAAGAGTTTGGGCAGAATACACTACAGACATTTCCAGGCCAAAAAGTTGACAAGTTACAGTAGGCGCACTGCTTACAGCAGAAAGATTCTGATTCCGCTCCACTACCAACGCTTCTCATTGCAATCCTCACAGCAAACTACTTGTGGGATGGGACTTCTAACCCGGTACTTTTCACCACGCAAATGAGTCACAGTTTTCTTCTTCCCCAGAAGGTCCAGAGTTACCCTATTTCTGTTATGCTCACCTTCTGATGCAGGTTTTCTAGGGAAATAAGATTGTCCTTAAAATTGCTTTTCTTAAGTGGGGCATGGTGGCACACTCCTTTAATCCCAGATCTTAGGAGACAGAGGCAGGCAGATGTCTGTAAGATCCAGACGAGCCAGGGCTACCTATTGAGACTATCTTAAAAAAATAAACTACCTTCTATGTCCATTCATGGCTGCACATGTGGGAGGTGTAGACAGGAGGCCCGACTGATTCAACACCAATAACTGTATTGTGAGTTCAGGACCAGCCTGGCCTACTGTCTCAAAAGCTGAAAGCCAGGTGGTGGCAGGTTGATCTCCGTGAGTTCGAGCCTAGGATGTTTGTTTTGTTTTGAATTCAGTAAACACTCACCCACTAGACCCTTGGGAATTGGCCCATTTCTTACATCTACTTCCTGATTTCAAGCTCTTTCCTTTACTATAGCTTTTTGTCTAGTTTCTATTTCTATTTCGGTTGATGACATCAGTTTTCTAGTTGTCACAGAAGATAAAAATGTAAGTGTCCCAAAGACATGTACTTATTTCCATAGGCTTCTAGAAAGACAAAAAGTGTCAATTTATTATAAAATATGTATACAACAAAGAAATCCATCGTGACATCACTGATTCTAAAGTATAAAAAGAGATAGCACATTTACTGAATTCATTTTCTCTAGTTAATTAAATGCTTAATTTCTTATGAAATCCCATTATCTTCTTGGTCGTATACATTGTCATATACTAGAGAAAATCACATGTAGCACAAACAAGAAACCAGGAAAAGTTACAGAAGAGTAAGATAACCCCAGTTCCTGGTGTTTAAAAGGAAAGCAGGCTTGGAAAAGCCGAGGAGAAAGCTGAGTCAGTGTACTGAGAATGTAATCAGTTACACATTACTTCTCATAGCTGTCACATCAAAGCGTAGTCACAGGCATCTTCACACAATTGCAGAATGATTATGTTTTCCCCTTTCCAAACAAAGCAAACAAACACGAACACTGTTGAGACTTAAAATGAGGTACAGTGGCAATTTCAGGGAAGTCACAGGACTCTGTTCACTCCGTGTTGATCTGCAGCCTACCTAAGTAAACCTGTGAAATGGCACTCGGAGTTCAGGTTTAACTTGATTTTAATGAGCGGCTATCCAGTCCCCTTCTTAGATTTACCTTAGGGAGCTGCAAAACGAATGCTTCTAACACTTGATGCGGGCATGGGCCTTTGGTTAATAGCAACAACAGAAATCAGCCATTTATCATTCTGGGGTTCTTGGTAGGTCATTCACCATTATTCTGAACATACACAACTTCATATTTCATAGAAGCTGGAAACAAAAAAGTCCCCCAAAGTATATTAAATATAAACCAGGCAGACAGGTAAGATGTCACTGGCCAGGCTCACTGAAGGCCACAGTTTTGCTAGTGTCACTGTTCCCATTTGATGTCATCTCTCCGCAGTTTCACCTGGAGATTGTGAGCTTGTACTGGACGGAAGCTTACGCGTTTCTGAAAAGGGTTAGTTTCATTCAAACACTTCCTGGGGCTATTTTTCGTGTCCTTTGATCCTTTAGGGTTGCCAAGTTCCCGAAGGAAACCTGAAGATGCATTTATCCTTGAGTTCTGAACTTTTTGCTGCAGTTTGCGGACCTGTTGAGAAAAGAAAATCTAATGTTTTAGGTAAAAATTAATATAAACACACCCTAAAGTAGATGACTAGATTGGTTGGTTAAAGAGTACATCAGAAGGTACAATCCAGCAAGTTCCTCACTGACCACCAGTCCCACAGCTGACATCGCTAGCCAGGCAGCCGAGAAACTTGCCTTCGGGGAGCTTATTGCTCCCGTTAATGAGACAGAGAATACTTGAGCTGGGATAACCTCGAAGAGAAAGAACGTACATGCATGGGTGTGGGTGACCAGCATAAGGTTACTGGTCAGACCAGAGCTCCAAGACAGTGGGAATGTCTTTAGATGATATTAATAGCAAAGTAAAGAAGTGTTTATTTCTTAGGAGGCGATTTTAAATTAAAGATTAAATTTATCACAGTAAAAGGCTTATTCAAACACTTAATCAAATTATAAAATGCATAGATTGGGTAACTCTAAAATTGTGATTATTTTTCTACCTAAAGTTTCTTCCATGCAATTCCAAGAAAGGGCACAAGTTGTACAATCTTTACCCAAACACAATCATAACATTTTTGTTTTTTTACATGTTATAGTCTTAGAAGGGTATAAAATGGGAAAATTTTTTTCTTTCTTGGCCATAAGCATAATGAATAGAGTAATATTCAGAGATTTTACAAATGCCTGTGTATGAGGAGGGTAGATACACCAGTGTCTTGTCTAGATGCTGACCATCCCCAGGCAGAGAGCTGTACAAAGTATGATGTGGTGTGAGGTTTCCTGGAAAGACTCCCTTCTGTTTTAGCAATGTCATAGTGTTTTAAGTTCAGTTCTGGATGGAGTCATTGTCTTAGTGTAAAATATTACACTCATGATTCTTCTGAAAAAATATTGAACGTTATGACATTCCTAGTTGCTAACACACAAGTACAGAATCCTCCATACCTGAGTTCTATTAATTACAGGTGGCTAAGCATAGGTTCCCAGGGAACACACTGCAGCCCAGGAGAAGGGAGAGAATGGCTTCAGGTTGTGGTACCAGGTTTCGGTATGTTACTGCCTCTGAGGGCACAAAGGGCATTACTAAGGCAGTGGGAGGGAAGACAAGAGAATGAAGGAATGCTGGAAGGAATGCCTTCTGTCCAGCTTGCCCAACATCTGACCCCACATGATCTCTTTTGCTCTCACCTTATCTTGAAGAACTGAAAAGGAGACCCAAGTCATTACAGCAGGGGTGGCTCTCTGTAAGAGGACCAAGTGACTCCTCTGTGTCTTTAGTACACCATCCCCACAGACTTCCATTTAGAAGGCCATACGGAGATGTGATATTAAATCCATATGTATGTTGCAGAATATTTGTTTAACTATGCAAAGATGTATTGCATTAATTATTTAAAGATGTCTTGCTGTTTTATCTTGCCTGCCTAAGGCATCTGATTGGTCTAATAAAAAGCTGAATGGCCAATAGCGAGAGAGGAGGTATAGGGAGAGTAAGTCAGAGGAGGAATTTAGGTTCTGAAGAAAGAAAGAGATGCCAGGGGCCAGACAGACAGACACTGAGGAAGCAGGAAAGTAGGACACATAGAATGAAAGAAAGGTAAAAATCCCTGAGGCAAAACATGGATGAATATAAACAGGTTAAATTAAGTTAAAATAGCTAGTGGGACAAGCCTCAGCTAAGGCCAAGCATTCATAAGTAAGAATAAGTCTCTATGTCTTTATCTGAGAGCCAGTTGTCAGCCCAAAGAAAATTCCAACTACACATATATTTCTAGTAGTTCTTTTTTATTTTTTCCAACATTGTATGGCAATTGTTTTTGTGTTCTGAAGACTGGTAGTTCTCAGAAGAGCAGCGTTTGTTTGTTTGTGTGTTAAAGTGAAGTGTTCTTACACTGTCTTGATGCTTCTTGAGTTTGGAGATCTGGTCTCCTTTGCTTTCCATCTTCTTGACTAATTGCTCTAGCTCATGTTCTATATCATCAGAGTCTGAGTGGCTTCTAGTTTGCATCATTTGTTTCAATAGTTCTCTGTGCTGCCTGTGGAGGAGAGCAAACATGGGGAGAGGGATATGTAACTCAGAAAGTGCTTCTTTGCATGTCAGGTCCTGTGTTCAATACTTAGTAATACAAAAGATAAACAAACAACCAAAAATAAACAAACAAATAAGTAAAAACACAAAAGTAGTATTGTCTGACATGACACATGGATTATTTTTGCATGAGCAAACATCAAATACTGTTATAGATCATCTGTCACAAGTAATTTTTTTGTTAAACTATGACTTTTAGTTAAGAATAAAATATTAATCTTCAAAAAGAGTCATAGCATTAGGATATGTAACCTAATCATGATAAACATAATCATTTAGAACTATCTCAGTATCTAGCTGTTCAATAATCTAAAAAACAATCTAAATTCTTGGTGCTCTCAGCTAAAAAGAATGAGCAGTTCTACAGGGCTTTGCCAGAAGCAACACACGGTTCTCTTCAGTCCCATGTCTGGGATTAGAGATACTGTCAAAAGAGCAGTTGTGTGTGCAGTGGCAGTTCATGAGTTCTGCGAGTCTGCCAGCTAGGTCATGGAGTTCTGATGCATATGTTGAAATGTATTTAAGCATGGGCTATAATACAATGACTCCTGTGCAGATCTTCCTTACTAAGGATGCTTTCTAATTTGTAATGCAGACCAGGAAGAGATTTTAATAGAAAAGCACATTTTCCTTCTAAAAGCTCTTATGAGTTCTAATCTAAAGTCTTCAGACTCAATATGTTTGATTCATATTTGCCAGTCTAAATCTCTGGAATAAAGGGAAGTAGTAATTAAACACAGTTACAAGATTAAATACTATGGTAGATACAATGAAAAATAGTTGTTTGTGGATCAAAACAAAGTCAGTCCAAATAGCCTTAAGAATTTATCGGTAGGCACTAGAGAGATGGCTAAGGGGTTGAGAACGTGTCCTGCTCTTGCAGGCACAACCTGCTGTCACTCCAGTTGCAAGGGGTCTGACTCCTCTTCTGCGATCTGTGAGACCTGTCCATGTGCACACATCCACTCACACAGCGATTTTAAACTAGCAAAATAAACCTTAATGAAATGAATTTATAGGTGACACTGTTCTTAAAAGAGTCGAGAAAAGATGTACTTAAACATGTATGCTTACTTAAGAAAGAAGAAACACTTACATAGTCATTTGGTCCAACTCCTCTTGCATTGCCATCAAAAGTTCAGACAAATTGTCACAAATGGAAATGGACTCTCCCGAGTTAAGAGGTTCAGCATTGTCCTGGGAAGTTGTTCTGAGAGACTTGTAGAGACACCGCGACTCAGGGAGTAGAACAGGTTTCTGAAAGTAATGCAGCCCATAGGGATGCAGCATCTGCAGAAGGGTTGCAAGCTTGCGTTAAAGGAACAGTCTGCACTGCACAGCTTGAAGGGAGAAGGCAGCTATGAGTGGACTAGTGCTAGACAGTATGTGTGCTGGTCAGATTTCTGTTGACACAAGCTGGCCTAAGTGCAGGTGCTCTGGGAAGAGGAAACCCAAGTTGAGAAACTGCTGACATCCCCAGGTCTATAGGCAAGTCTGTGGGCTATTCTCTTTGTTAATGATGATACAGGATGGTCCAGTTCACTGGGGGCAGTTCTACCCTGGAGCTGGTGGCAAACTGAGCAAGCCATGGAGAACAAGCCAGAAGGAATCTTTCCTCCAGGGTCTCTGTGTCAGTTCCTGTTTCCAGGTCCCTGTCCTAACTTCCCTTCTCGGAGGACTGTAAACTGAAGTAAACCCTTTCCTCCCCATGATGTCTTGGTCATGGTGTTCACCACAGCAACAGAAAGCTAACTAGAATAGTGTGTAAACGACAGTTGCAAGTTTTCAAAACCATGATCTTCATTTTTGTCCTCTTACCTTTCCCCCCTCCAAAGACAGTGCTCTAAACTTGGGGTCCATTTGCTGAGGTGGTTCTCTCTTCAAACACTTAGTTTTCTACAGGTTAGCAAGAGGCAAAGGAAGCAAAGTGCTATTTTAATATATATTTATGATATGAAAAGCTCCCAAAACCCAACAGTAAGTGTAAGTGCCATTTGAGTGTAGGTGCAGACATGGGTAAGCGTTTGACTGGAGAAGACAAATGGCAAACACGTGAAGGGATGGTCAAGAACCTTGTTACTAGGGAAACTCCAGTTAATATAAAATACAAGAATACAAAAGTTAATAAAAACACCACCACATGCCTATTAAAATGGGTTAAATAAGAAAACAGCAATGACATCAAATATTGTCAAGACACTGCATCACTGGCATGTTGGGAAGTCACTTTGTAAGACAAGTTGGCAGTTTCTTACAAAGTGAAACATGGATTCATCATATAACCTAACAACTGCACTCTTGAGGAATTATCCTAGAAAACAAAAAATGATGTCCACACACACACAATCAACACATGCACACCATAGCTTTACTTATGATAGCTGAAAAGCAGCAACAACCCAAATGTCCTTACACAGAGACTGATTGAACTGTAGTAGACCCTAACATGGACTAGCGTAAAAGAAAAAGTGAACATATAACAACTCAGATTGGACTCCAGGGAAAAATGCAACCCCAAAGGTTCAAACTGTAGAACTCTATTTGACCATTGTTCTCGTTAGGATACAACGTCACTGTGTAGTGCAGGCAGGTCTCAAATCAGGGCAATCCCACTTAGAACTTAGATTGTAGACACAGTGCCTGACTATACAAGATTCTTCAGGAAAACTACAGAGAAGGCAAACAGCACCACTTGCTTGGGTTGGGGGAGGGACGTGGCTAAGAAGGAACTATGTGGAGGAGCCCTAGAGTGATGAGCAGTTCTGTATCTTGATTATTGTGATGGCTACATGAATCTACACATGTAATAAATCCATGAAACTTTCTCATGCCTCTCAGTTGCCATTAGAATTATACCTCTGTCTCTACTGTTCCTAAAGTCTTCGATGGGTACCAACTATTTACAGTGAAAGTTCAAATTCAACACCACAGCCCATTTTTAGACAGGAGTCTCACTGTTTGCCAGGCTAACCAAGGACCTACTATGTACTTCAGGTTGATCTTAAACACAGGGCCTTCCCATCCTAGCCTTCTGAGGATAGGAATTATAAATGAACATCACTGCACCCGACCGGCTTTAAACGTTAGTTTTTTTTCCCTTTTGAGACAGTGTCTTGTTAGCCCAGGATGGCCTTGAGATTACAGCTGTGCACCTCTGTCGGCAGCTGGGATTATAGCCTAGCACATTTCCCCTCTCCGCAGGTGTCCTTCTTTAAGACGCCCAGGCTGACTGCAGTGGTGGCTCTGCATTACTCTCCGTGTGGTCTTCTGTCTACATTGTGGCATAAGACTTACCACACCCCTGCTCGTCCTTGAACTCCCAGGCTTCCCGCCCCAGCCCAGGGGGGCTCTAAGCATGTGTCAGCATGCCCGGTTCATCTGTCTCTGTCTCTAGAGACACTGGTCTAAGTACAACAAAATATAAGAGCCGAATATTCAGCTGGGGATATGGAGACACTGTGTAAATATAGAGAGGAGGGAACTCCTGAACTCTGACCCCCATCTCCAGTGATGTCAGAGCTCCTTTTATCTTTAAAGGGAAACATGGGTATTTTCACACACTATGATCTTGGCAGTGGAATTACTAAGTGATTTTGCTGTTAGTTATCCTCTTCTCTTTCAGAAGTTATATTTTCTTTCTTATGTTCCTTTATCATCTACCAGGTGTGGTAGCACATGGTTATAATCCAAGCTACTCAGGAGGCTCAGGCATGAGGACGGAAGTCAAGGTGAGCTCAGGCTACATGGAAAGTGAAGCCAACTTGGGCCACTAGAGCGTAACCCTGTCTCAAATATTAACTGATAGAATTTAAAATCTTTGTTTTTACTGCATATATATTTATATAAAGCTGCATTAAGGGTGTTTGTTTGTTTGTTTTTGTTTTGACACAATGCCTCACTATGTAGCTCTGGCTGACCTGGATCTCTCTATCTGGATCAAGCTAGCTTTCACAGAGTCCTGCTTGTCTGTGCCTCTCCAGCTGGAATTAAAGGTGTGTACCACTCAGTATCCTTCTAAACACTGTCTCAATACTTTGTGTTAGGAGCTCTGTAGGAGCAGACTGCTTGCTGGCACAGCACAGGCTCTCCTCTGACTGTCAGGCAAACTGAGAGTTAACTTGAAAGAAGTAGAAATGATTAAGGGCGAATGAATGTACATCATAAAGTTAGGAAGTGGTATCTGGGGATGCTGTATATGCGTACCTTTAGTGGTTTCTTCTTTTCTTTACAGAGCTTTGAATGTGAAACTGTAGACATTAAAATTCTGCTGATTTCCAGTCCAGTTTGAAGCTATAAAAGTAAAGAAATAATTCGCAAGACTGATCTGTAACAAGCTTCTTTATATATAATGAAAGTTGAGACCTCAGCTTTTGAGTATAAATATTTTCTGAAGCCAGAATTGTTTAGTCGCAGTTACTTGGATGGGGCTGAAGCAGGGCTGCAGGAGCCTAGGGGTTCAGAGCTAGCCCAGGAGGCACAGGGAGACTCCATGTTAAAAAATGAAACCCAAAAATCTTTTGATGAAGAATACCCTAATGATACATTGGTTTGGTAATTATGATTATTTCCTGTTTATAATAGAATAAATTAGAATATTTATGTGTATGTAGGTATGTGTACATGTGCCAACGTGTGTATCTCAAGTTAAAACTATTATATGTTAGGAGCCAGTTATCTGAACTGAGAATATATGTGTGTGCAATGTATCTGAGGATACGGATGTACTGACTAAGCTAGAATTTTGTTACCACAGCAAAACAGGCAGTAGTAACAATCTGGAGCACCCACACCAGTGTAGACTAGGGTTTAGATCATGACAATCACTTATGCAAAGACATAGTCTCCGTGACAGACTAAAGATTGCTATTGACCTCACACGCTTTGTCTTGAAACAGCTTGCGCTGATGCTCCTCTTCCTTCAGCTTTTCCTCTAGATATTTTATCTTATCCTGCAAGAGAACGAACGTGTATGAAAACCAGAGCCAAATGTCCTTTCCAAGACAGTCCTAGGGGGTCTGGACTTTTAAAGAGCTAGCAAGTTAGAGTAGAAAGTAAGAAAAGGAATGGCAAAAGATGCCAAGATTTCTCTTGGTGCTCTCCCTATGCTCCCTTCCTTGCTATGATACACGAGACAAAGTGACGGCCTGGACACATCAAAGATCCCAGTGCTCTGCTCGCTTCGGCTAGCTTTAGTTTAAGCTAAACAAACGTTAGCTCCACAGCACACTGCATCATTTTCTCCTGTTTTCTAATCTGTCCACAGTGCGACAGCACAGGGATGGCCTTAATCACCCTCCGTGTGTTTTTATTCTTGTCTGGTGTTGTTGCTGTTTTCTCCTCTCAGCGTGGCTGAGAATTCAAGCACTAGTCCGCACTTTAGAGACTATCTTGTGATCACCACCAGATCTACAGACAATAAACACACAAGCTTTATTCCCAGATACCACCAGAACCATGATGAAGCTTCTGAGAATGTTACTGCTCTTAAGGCTATATGGTCTTGGGTCCAAATGTCCACTCAGAAACAAACAATAGTAATGTTGGCCAGTACATGTGATGGGGGACAATGCTGGTCACATGTGAAGACACCTGAGAGATGTAAGGCTTGGCCCTGGTTACTTGCTCCATCAAACAAGGATTATAATAAGCACAAGGGCTAGCAAGATAGTCCAGCAGGTAAAGTGCCTGTCATCAAAGTCTGATCACTTGAGTTTGAACCCTGGAACCATGTAGAAGTGGAAGGAGAGAACCAATTCCACACAGCTGTCCTGGGTGACCCACACACGTGCCATGGCATACATGCATCCCACGCCCATTATTCACACACACAATAATAAACTTAGAATACATTGAAAGAGCAACACACATGAAATGGTAAAATGGCAAAGCAATGAGAACAACTTAAAAAGACCCATCATATACTCCGTACACATACACACACATATTACACCTTCTATGTTTGTGTGGGTCAGAACAGGAACCATGACAGGAGTGTCACAGGGAGAGATGTCTGAGCACTTACAAGGGGCTACAAAGAGGACAAGAGGCTCTAGAGAGTTCTGTGAAACGGGATGGACTTGGGGGATATGCAGTAAAGACCACCTAATACTCTTTAGGTCAGACACCTGACGAACGGGAATGTTCTGCCATCTGACAGCTCCTACTCCGGTGTCTGCAGGCAAGCTCTCTCACGCCATGACAGAACACACTTTCTCCACGGGCAGGGATTACCTGGATCACAGAGTGCACATGAAGTGCTCTAAAGCTCCGCTTACTCATTCCCATACAGTGCCAGCTTTACTTTGCTCCTGGCGCCATCACCTCAGAGACAAGCGGAGCTTACCTCAGCAGTCTGCTGAGTTGTTGTCAATCTAAAACATTCTTTTTCTAAGACATCGAGCTTTTCCAGTTTAGCGTGCAGTTTCATCTGATCTTGTTCTTTTTCCCTTTGAAGCTGGGCCTAGAAAAGATTAAAAAAAAATCTAAATTTGGCAAGTAAAGCCAATGGATCAAGAGTAACATGATTTCTGAGAAATCAAAGTATAACATAATCAGCTGCTAGAAACATGCATATACATGTCTATACATTAGGCACTTATGAGCAGAAAACAAGAACATCAAATCCTTTAAAGGAGCAAATGTAGTATGTGACAAACATGTTGTTGAATTAGCACTAATAGAATAAACCCCTTTGTATCCTTATACACCAGTGGCACGAGGGAGAGTATCACACAAAGCTTACACCAAAGCTATGAGGTGTAACTCACAGGAGACCAAGCCTACTCACAGCCCCAGCCTTCCTGACTCTAACACAGAAGAGCAGTTGGGGATAAAACACAATAGGAAGTTACCACAACCACGCACAGAAAATTACCCACACACATGTACAGGAAGTTACCCACACACATGCACAGGAAGTTACCACACATACATGCACAGGAAGTTACCACACGCACACACACACACACACACACACACACACACACACACAAACTTACCATACACACATGCAGGCTGTTTTGCAGGACTGTTTATTAGTAATAAGAGCCAACTGTTTAAGGGAAAAGAAGAACCTTACTTGGTTTTCTGTGAACATAAAAATGGTTCTAAAAGGAAAGCCTACTAACTAGGACAAAATGAAAAACAACCACTAAAAGCCGTCTTGGAGACCCGTGGCCCGATACCACTGTCTCAGAGAAGAGAGGAGTAAGACAAATGCCCACTGAAGAACAAAGGCTAAAAATATTCCAAACATAATCTAAAATACTGACAGATTAAAAAATAAAAACCACGAATAAGAAAGTAGAATCAACACGTAGGACACTAGACACAGGGGCACTGTCAGAACACAGTCCAGTAATGGAGTCGTGTGTGAGATTTCTGAGTGCTAAGAAAACAGGACAAGAGCCTTGGAACCTCAGTGTCTTCATGCTCCTCCAGGTGTAGTGGATAGGAGTGAGTTTACTTCAGATTACTCAGTTATCCTTTATATGTCTCTGTGGAAAACATAGTTTTGCCACATACAGCTTGTCCTTGTGACTATATACAGCTTGTCCTTGTGACTATATACAGCTTGTCCTTGTGACTATATACAGCTTGAACTCATGAGACCTTTACTCAGGTGACCTATCTAAACCTCTGAGTATAAACTGTCTGATGCTCTGAATAGAGTTGGCTATTGTATGAGACTTTAGTCTGCTTTATCTGTTGGCTCCATTCCCTCAGGTCTCACTGCCTCTAGAGTGGTAATTATCAAATTGCTAAAGATTAATAATAAAGAGAAAATCTTACCAGTATCCTGAGAAGCAGAAACATACCACACACAAAGAGAAGATAAGAACGGCCATTAGATACCTTGAGAGCTGAAGACAACTGAGCAAAATCTTTAATGTGCTGAAAATCTAAAGCTGGGACTTGCGGTTCCCTTCTGTACTCACAGCACTCAAGAGGTTGAGGGAGGAGCAGCATCATGAACCAGAAGCCAACCTAGGCAATATAGCAAGGTCAGGGCCAGTCTGCACTGGAAACAAGGAACAACCACAGGCTGGTAGCAGCCTGGGGCTCTGTGCTACAGCCCCTGGGAGGAGGCGGTGGTGGTGTGGAGGGATTGGACTGGATGTCAAGCGACCCAGGCTGCAGAAAGCTGGGCTCTGGCAGTGAAGGTATGGTGGGTGGAGCTCCACTTCCCTCTGAGGATGGGAGCAGACTTTATTACCTGAAGATAACTGTGGGTAACTGTGAGCCCAATGCCACTGGGTTCCAGAACTCTGGAGCCACCTATGTGCCTTGTAGTTCTGGGCCAGCAAGAGTGAGCTCGGTACATGGCAGGTACATGATCCGCTGTGTGTCTCCCAAAGGGCAGACATGTGGAGCAGAGTTAGAACGCACGGAGCCTGGACACCCAAAGATTTCAGTGCTCTGCTTGCTTCCCCTGCTCATGGGCTAGCTTTATTTTTTTCCTATTTTCTAATCCGTCACTAGTGACACAGGAGATGGCCTTAATCAGTCTTTGCTGTGTTTTTATTTCTTGTTTGCCTGGTGTTGATGTTGTCTTCTCCTCCCAGTGTGACTGAAAATTAAATTTGTAAGAAAAGGTTGCTCATGAAGATCCCAGATAAAAGCAGCAGAGCCCACACCAACAGAAAGGTAAATCCTGAGAAGTGCAAAAGGGGGAGTACAACACCCCCAAAGATCAGGCCCCCTCAATTAACAAACAAGTCTAAATAAATGCAGGCTTAACAGAGGATTTGAAGTCCACTTGCTAACAAGAGAAAACACACAGGGACTTAAAAGAACATAGACACAAGCAGACAGGCAAAGAAATCAATTTGGGATGTGGGAGATAAAATAGAAACATGAGAAACTCAGGAAAGAAACCAAGATGAAACGTTAGAAATGAAAACCCAGTTTGCCAAAGGAAACCACAGCAGAGAGCATCACAGATAAAGCACAGAACCAACAGACCAAGCAGAACAAAGACTAACAGGAGTGAAGAAAAGGCAGAGGGAATATCACACCCAGGCTTCAAGAAACAAAGTAAGCAAGCACGGTCACTCCATTAAGAACTCTGGGGCAGGGGCCTACACCAAATCTAAGACTCCCTCAGGCAGAGGAGCTGAGACAAAAGCTAATAGTTAATCTGCCTGGATTCGGGTCCTGCCAGGAACAGGCCTTTGGGTGTGCCTGTGTGGGTGTTTACAGAAAGGCTTAGGGAGGAGAGAAGGCCCAGTCTGAATGTCAGGGGCACCAACTACTCCATGGGCTGGGATCCCAAACTGAATAGCTTCCCGACTGTGGATGCCATGTGACCAGCAGTCTCCCGTTCCTGCCACTGTTAGGAATATGTTTGGGGTCGAAAGGAAAAAGACCCATACCGGAACTGAAGTGTCTGGTCTAGGCAAAGCTTCTTGAAAAGAGGTGTGCTGCTCCCCAGAGCCGCACAAGCACAGGAACACACAGCACACATAACTTCTATCCTAATTCAGGAGGTGACCATGGCTTTTCCCCATTGGCTGGGTCTAATCTCATGGCCTTCTGCAATTGGCTAGTTTGGAAAGACTTGGTGCACGGGAAATGAAGGGGGAAGGGATTAGCGACTTAAATCCTAGCATATAGCAGGGCCTTTCGTAAACAGAGATTCTAGTGTGTGTGTGTGTGCGCGTGCGCGCGTGTGCGTGTGCGCGTGTGCGTGTGTGTGTGTTAAAGTTTTACAAGGTGGAAAAGATAATATTTGACTCTTCAATACAAGAGTGTCAACGTTGATGGAGTTTGATGGGAGGACTCATATAAAATGTTCCTTATCTCACCATAATGGTCTGCACTCAAGCTGCAAGTCAAAGTTGCTTTTGTCACGTGTTGTCACAACGGGAAACTGGTACTGAGGTGTGGGGCTCTGGGAGTTACGAACCTGACTACTACCTGGGTTCTCGGGTGCTTGGAACTAGTTTATGGGAAGAATGTGAAAGAGCTCAGAGCTGTGAGTTACAGAAGTCCTAGAATCCTAAGACCATTCTGGGGAGGTTAGACGAGAAAACTGATAAATACACAGGGGTGTATTCCAAAGAGGAACAGGACTTGATAATAGTCACTGAGATAGAGGACATTCACACTATAGTCTGGTGACAAAACTGGACTCATTCTGCCCATGTCCTGAGAATTCGAGTGAGGCCGACTTCAGAAGTAAAGGACAGGGGTTTGACAACACTTGCTATTTTTGCACAGGACTTGGGTTTGATTCCCAGTACCCACATCTGGTGGCTCACTACTCTCTGTAACTCCAGTTCCAGAAGATCCAAGGCACTCTCCTGGCCTAGCTGGGCACTACACACACAGACACACAGATACAAAGACACACAGACACAGACACACAGACACACACACACACACACACACACAAACACACACACGCAAAATCTTTGAAAAAGTAATGTATTTGGTAGAGGAAATTTCAAGGGAAATTCCCCCCACCCCCTCCCTGGTTTTTGAGATAGGGTTTTTCTGTTTAGCCTTGTCTATCCTGGAACTAGTTCTGTATCCCAGGCTGACCTCAAACTCACAGAGATCCCATTGCGTCTGTCTCCCAAGTGCTGGGATTAAGCATGTGCTACCGCTGCCTGGCCTCAAGGGAAGATTGTTTTCAGACTGTGGCATGCTTATTGTCCATTACATTGAAAGGGAGAAAAAAGTGGACCAGAAAAATATGAAAATGTGAAGTGTAGTCAAGAAGAGAACATCCAGCAAATTCAACACTGCAGCCAAGCTAGGATGGACAGCAATCTTAAGTGTTAAAGATAATAGCTCCACTAAAGAGACACCTGGTTCTTGTCCTTGGAACAATAGGAAAGGTGTTATGAGGGTAAGACCTGAGCCATGGAGGTTCCAGCATGTGAAAATGCAAATTCAGTTGAAAGCAGAGTCTGAACTGGGAATGCCATTAGAGGGAACATTGCTTGAAAACAACTGTGTAGGCACACCAGCCACTGCAACTGTGGCCCAAGAGGTCAGAGCACATTTTGGACTATCAGAAGAACTTGGCAGTGTCATCCACATAGTCTTGGTTTTGCATAAATGAAAGAAGCGTTAGAGGCCATCAAGGTTTGCACCAAGGTCTTAAAGGTCGCTGACACTAAGCAATGTGTCACAGGTTCCAAGTTCCTGTAAAGAGACCCTGAGAGGCTATGAAGCAGTCAAGGTGAAGCTTAAACTGCAGTGAGATCCCAGGATATTGGAGATGTCAACATCATGGGACATCTCAGGAAAGTTACAAGCATATAGTAGACGTGGCCCAAGGGAGAGACTCTGTGTGCTATAGGCAGGAGAGTTGGAGGGGTATGACTCCCTAACAGACAGGACATGTGTTCTACAAATAGGAGAGCCAAAGGGGCATGACTCCTCAAGGGAGAGGACACGTGTGTCACAGGCAGGAGAGCCGGAGGGGCTGTTGGGTGCTCTGAAGGCTCCATCACAATCCCAGTCACCGCCACACTGCAGCACAAGGTTGATGCTGGCTCTCTGACTTCCAGTTTTGTTCTGTTTGCTCTTTGTATGGCCACACCCCTCCTTTATAATGGAAATATCTACTCTGTATCACTATATGCTGGAATTCTTTGTGATTTTATGGGAACTTAAAGTGAAGAGTTTATCTTGCATCTCAGAAGGGATTTTGGACTTTGAAACCATGTTTGACTGTTAAAAGGAAGGTTTAGAGATGTTGCATGGTGGAACGCTGTGATCTAAAGTACATCTCCTTGGGTATCAAGCTGATAAGGTGGGGATGGTGATGGTCAATCATCACTGTCAACTTTGCACCATGGAAACACACTGACAGGTATGTCTTTGAGAGTGTTTCCTGAAAGGGTTAAATCAGGAGGAAAGACCTAACCTGAAAATAGGTGGCATCATCCCATTGGCTGGGGTCCTGAAGTTACTAAAAAGGAAAGAGAAGCAGGAGAATGCTAGCACCTGTCTCTCTGCTTCCCTTCTGAAGAAGATACAATGTAACTGCTAGTATTCAGGCATCTGTATTGGACTGCCCTTGGGGTTTTGGCAGGATATGCCCTCAGCTGCAGCCACTAAGAGCACCACCCATGCATATTCACTATGCTTCCTTTTAAAATGGCCCTGCCCACCTTCCATGTCTGTTTTTCTTTCTCTCTACTCCTCTGCCTGTCTCTCTGCCCGCCCCCTCCCCCACTGTTGCTCCTGTTTCGAGAGGCTGGTGAGGTCTGTCACATGACACTTTTCCCCTGGCACCTCTCTTTTTATGAATTAAACAGGAACCAGCTGCCTCATACTCGTGCTGCTACGCCTTCCCTATCACAGAAGACTACTGTACTGTAAAACTATGAGTCCAAAAAAGCTCCTCCTCCTCTTTAGTTGCTTTGGTCAGGTATCCTATCAATCAATGAGTTATGGCAAAACTTTCTCCAACTTGGGGAAAGAAATGGGCATCCAAGGTGAGAAACATTTCCCCCTACTACAAAGGCATTTAGCTCAACCGGGACCTGTATTTCCTGAAACTTTACCTTCTTCTTTTTGTCAATTAACCAATCACTTCAGATTGTGAAATCAAGCTCCCACCACTGGGAAGAGATGTGCCACCACCTCCGCCAAGGGTAAAAGGAAGGATTGCTGGCCAAGTGCCAGTTCTAGCTCAGCTTGGGCTCTAGAACACTTTCTCCAGAAACAAATCATCTTGTCCTATCACTTTCATGATCATATGTTCATGTGTTTGTTCCTTTTTGCAGCACTGAGATTTTCCTCCCAACTTCCAAATACAAGGGTACTTAGACTCCAAACTGGCATGGCCTAAGAAGAAGAACAACAAAGACCAACCCATCAGAATGATACGAAACCTCTCAGCCAGGAGAAGCCTAAAGTCGGGAAATGGGGAATGATGCATTTCAAGCCCTGACAGCAAATAATTGCCTACCAAGATGATACAGCCAGAAAAGCTATCTTTTAAAAGTGACGAAGAAATATATTTGACAAGTGCAAACTCAAGTCACTTATGACCACTAAGCCAGTCCCTGCTATGATGCCACAGGTCCAAAGCAACCATGGATGGAAACGTCTAAACTGAAATAGACATGGAACACTTTATTTACTTATCTCTTTTATCTATGTTTGTTTGTTATTTATTTATTTTGAGATAGGGTCTCTGTGTAGTTCTGGAGATCAGGCTAGCCTTGAACTCTGAAACATCCACCTGGATTTGCCTTCATTGTGCCCGGTTTAAAGGCATGAGCCACCACACCTGGCAACCTTTCCACTTTATGAGGTAGTTACCTTAGGCGCCTCTTGACTGAATGGTACAATTTTAATTTTAATCCATTTTGGAAAGTGGTCAGCTACCATATTTTCAAGTATTACTTCTACATCATTTTTTCTCTTCATCTTAAAACCTCCAGTTACATATTCAGTCAGATCTTTCTTGCTCTGACATGTCACCTTTTCTTATTTCTTGAATTTACTAGAATGTCGTCCCTTTGTTGGTCTGAGTGGCATGTGTCCATTTCTTGAATTCTGTCTGGTAATCATCTGGTAGATCTACTAGTTCTAAATTTCATTTTTAGTATTTAATTAGCTCTCAAATCTACTTTCTCCACCGCTTTTTCTTTTGGAGAGACAGTTGTACCCCCACCCCGTCCCGACTAGTGCAAGTACAGTGATCTTCGGGGCTTTCTGCTCTATGTGGGCCTTAAACTGATTTCCTGAGCCAGAAGGTCAGCTGTCAGAGGTACTGTCTCAACTGCTCCTCTGAAGTCACAAACACTTTCAAAAGGAACGACCAAACATCAGGGTGAACTGTGGGGATTTAAATCTGTACACAACCCGAATGGGTGATTACATGCAGCCTCCTTAGGGCCTAGTCGTCTTCTTTCTCCCTTCCACCTCCCTCTCCTTTCTTGTGCAGCTTCTTCAGATTATCTGTTAACTTTTTCTTGTTTTCGTTGCAAAGATGTGGGCCTAAATGGCACAGTCTACCATCACTTTATGTGAAAATCTCAACACGTAGCCTTATATCTTACTATGGTTATAATATGAAAAAATTCCCATATTATAGCCTTCAAAACACCATATTAAATTACCATTCCTCAAAGGAGAGCATGCTTACCTGTTGTTCTAGGATCATCGCCTTTTCTCGTTCTACATTGAGAACCATTCTCTTTGTATATTCAAGTTGCTTCTCTAGAAGAGTACAACGGGACTGGGCTGAGCTTAACTGGATGCTTATATCTATGTGAGACAAAATAGGGAGTTAATCAGCTGATTGTTACATAGGTCAGGGACTGAGTGACTCTGTGTGTATGTGGTGTGCATTGTGCACACACAAGCCAGAGGAGGAGGGTGTCAACTGTCTTCCTCTACTCCCTCTGCCTTATTCCCAGTCAGGCCTCTCACATGACTGGAAGCCATTGGTTCAGCTTGCCTGGCTGGCCAGCAACTAAGCTCTTCCCCCTTTTCCCCGCCTACCCCAAAGCTGGAGCTCGAGGTCCTCACAGTCATGGTCTCTAATTCTGACCTCATTCTTATACAGCCAGCACTCGCTCTCGTCACTGACTTTAAACAGACTTTTGGTGACTAACTCATTGATGGCGTCTGAGAGCAACCTGTGTGTTTCAGTTTTCACTCTGCCAGTTAGCCCTGGGAATCAAACTGAGGTCATCAAGTTTGGCAGCAAGCAGCAGTCACACTGGCTCTCTTCTCTCCTCTCCTCCTCTTTTTCTTTTTATCAGAAAATAAATGTGTGTCTGCAAAACAGTCTCTCACTGTGTAACTTGCTATGAACACACAGAGATCAGCCTCTGTCTCCCAAGTACTGAGACTAAAGGTGTGCACCCCCATTCCCGGCTGTCTGCTCTGCACTGAACTACTGACCACTCAGTTAATTCTAAAGGGGAGTAACCAGAGTTTAACCCTTTCACTTTCATCAGTTTAAACTTGCCCAGTCTCGCTTTCTCTTCTCATCCTTCACTCTGTTTGCAAGGTGAAACAAGAAGAGGGGCTTTATGAATGCGGGTGAATGTTTTAGAAGGAAAGCAAAAAGTTTTGAAGAAAAAAATAGACAAAGAACTCACACTCTAAATTTCTTAAGATTCTTATTTAATGCCCCTTTCCTAATTTCCACAGAAGCCTCTATCTCCTCTAATTAATCCTATATTCCTCAAGTTGAATAAAATTATTTTCCGTTCATTTTTATTATTTTTATGTTGTTTAATTACTACCATTGCTTTATATTTCAAAAATTTTAGATTAATGCTAACCAAACATATTAAGTATTATTATGGGCTCAGCTGGGCTTTATTATTTATTCTAAAAAACATTCTAATTTCTAAACACAACTTACCTAAGCTTTTTCTTTTAACTCAAATACTGATGAACTGGGGGCTCGGGCTGCAGCTGAGCCGCAGAACACTTCAGTCCCCTGCACTGCACAGAGCAGGCTTGGTGGTGCACACCCACAATCTGGCCCTTGGGGTGGAATCAGGAGCATCAGACTTGCAAGGCTACCGCAAGTTCAAGACCAGCTTGGGGGATGTGTGAGACTCTCATCCCAAAAATACATTTGTGAGCTGGGGTAATAGACACAATGCAGGCAAGTTCAAAGTTACATTAGTTTCCCACAAATATCAAAAACGTCTAAGACCATGGCCTCAGGCATTCTATGACGGTAGGAGCAGGAGTGTTGTAAGATAGCTTCCCCTGGGCTTATTGCTGTCAAACTAAGCTCTGGCCAACCCGAAGGCCAAGAACCATGGTCCTTTACCTTTTTTCTGCTTAATCAGTTCCTGGTGGGCCAGGTTCCGCTCATTTGTCTCATTCTCCAAGGCCTTTTTATACTGCGCTGCCTCTCTGCACAGAGAGTTCAAGTTGTCTTCAGCCTGAGTCCGCTCCAGCTCCAGGCGATGGATCTTTTCCTGAAGAGTTTTTAATGCTGAAACAAGTGCTATTGAAAAGAAATTTGCTTGATGTTTTAAGCGAACGTTTTTGAAAACTTAATAATCACAGTTACTTGGGTAACAACAAAAAATAAACAGTGTGTTTTTGCTAGTAGCCAGAAAATATACACAAGTTGATGTATAATACCCATGAAATTAAAATAATTCTACAAAGGGACACATTTCCTATGGTGTATCTTGTAAAACCAATAATCTACTAGATTAAATGATTTATAGGACAGAACTGCGAATAATTTATTATTCCAAATGAGAGAACTTCTACTAATTAATATGATAATTGAGGCTTAAAGATGCACTCAGTTCTTGATGTAGGCAGTTTCAGTGAAACCACAGCCATTATTTTGTCCTTTGTCCTAGAAGCAATACTAGAAATCAGGACAGGTGAGGTGGGACAGTTTTTCCATGAAACAAACAAACAAGTGATCTGGGCTAAAAGACACAAGGAGCCCATGTTTGTTATTGTGATCTTTACTTAGCTACACTGGTGTCTTCATGATGCAGAAAAAGCTAAGAGCTAAGCGTTTTTCAAACGTTATTTTACATTTTCTATTCCTTTGTGGTTTCAAATGATAAAACTAGATCTGAGTAGAATGTAAATAAGTGAATGGTGAGTGTTAATAGCATATATCCAGCTAGTAAAATGTTTGCTGGAGACTTTTGTTTTCTCTCTATTTGGCACCAGCAGCTGGCTCACTGATTTGGATGTCAACTTCATCATCTGGGAAGAGGAACCTCAGCTGAGAAGATGCCTCCTGACACTGGCCTGTGGTGCATGGGAGGAAAAGCCTGCGGTGCGCCGTCTGGATTAACTATGCTGGGGGAGCGCTCAGCTCACCGTAGGCAGTGCCATCCGCGAGCTGCTCATATGGAATCAGCTGAGCAGGCATGAGGAACAGGCAAGTAAGCAGCATGCCTCCAGGGTCCTGCCTCGACTTCCCTCAGGGATGGATGGAGTACTACCTGAGAAATAGACCCTTCCCTCCCCAGGCTCTACCCAAAACAGCAACTATGATTACAGACTTTTTGGAAAGGTAATAGTCAGATTATAAAGTAATTCGTAAAGCATTAAATACTTCTGGAGTCATAAACATTTTCTAGTTCAATTTTCTTTTTGCTTCTAAAATTCTGTTTATTTAGCATATGTACACATAAAAGAGAAATCACCCTCAGATCCCACCCAGCAGAAAACATGCACACATCCAAGGTATATGTGGAAGGGAGGGGCCCCAGCCCCAAGGCAGCAGTTGGGATGGTGCAATCCTGTGAGTCACAAGCCCATCACCAGCGCGCTGGACTGAAGTGTCAAACAGGCAGGAGCCTCTGCTGCTGGCCCTAAAGCAAGCGAGTGCCATAGCTAGAGGTCTGTTTGATGCCCTCAAAGTAGTACCGCTGCCAGCCTTGCGGCGTCCGCTCTTCCTCAGGGGCAGGGATGCCGCAGCCTTCCATGCACACCCCGGTCTCCCCATTCTGTCAATGAAGGTCAAGGTGATGGTAGCAAAGTGGCCCTCTGGCCACGACGTAAACCTCCACTTCATAGCAATGTGCTTCTCAGGGAGCAGATCAGCAGACTCTCCAGTGACGCTGCCATGGACCATGTGAAACTTCCCACCTTTGTCTGCTTCCAAGGCCACAGGAGCACGGGTAAAGGCCTGAACCAGATCCTGGTGGTAAGCACTCTACAGAGCTCCTCTGAGGATTTTGACACCAACAGGTTTGCCTGGCTCCTTTTGAAGGCGCAGACTTCGCCTTGCACACCTCAGTTTTTAGTGCTGGCTGACACACTGGGTCTACCGACTCTCCACTCACTGTGGGCAAGATGATGCCCTGAGTGAACTCTGTCTGAGGGTGCTGATGGAAAGCCCCACCCCTTCTTCCTTCATTAAGGCCACGAGATTTCTATCGGGCTCATCTTTGGCAGGGCTCACACTAATCTCCTCTTCATGCACAGTTTTCATCAGACAAACTGGGGATTCCCACACATCCTTTGTATTGCACTCCTGACTTCCGGTGCCTGTCCAGTTTAGTCTGATGCCCACTCATAAGAGAAGATCAGTCTGCCTTCCCGGCTATCAGTGGTCGCCTCTCTCTCCATCAAGCTTGCTCACTGGTCACCTCACACTTGCCCTCCTCATTTTCTCCTCGAACTAGCTGCCAGGAACAGAGTTTTCAGCTTTTCTGTGGACCAATTTGAGTCATCTCTCTGTCCCGTGCCAGCTGATGACGCTGGTGGTGTTCGCCCGCTCTTCCACAATCCAGCGCGGGTCTCCCTCACCGCACTTCGGTAGCTCACTTACCGCACGGCTACCAGCTCCCAAGCAGCCGCAGCCAAACCTCAGGACCACGCTGTCTCAAGCTGCCCGGCAGCACCTGGAAACTACTGGAAGCGGCAGCAGCACCTCCTGGTTTGCTTTTCCCTCCACCCCCACCCCCTCTCTAATTCAATTTTAAGGTTCTCTTAAGTTGATGTTGAAAAAGTGCTAATAGCCATTATTCTATAGTTACTTGACTATAATGACTTCCAAAGGGACTCACAAGGATAATTTTGGATATGTGAATTCTGACTGATATTTGAATATGATACAACTCTATATCACTCACTAGTATTCGGATTATCAGGTTAGAAGGATTCCAAATCTGGATTTTTATTCTATCCTTTATAATTTATTTATTTACCTTTTTCTGTGTAGCCCTGGCTGTCCTGGAACTTACTGTAGATAGACCAGGCTGGTCTCGAACACTGAGATCCACCTGCTTCTGCATTCAGACTGCTGGGATTAAAGGCGTGCACCACTACCGCTCCCTTTTTTATTTGTATATATGCATAAATGTGCATGGGTACACATGTGCCATGGAACACACGTACACACACATGCGGGCACACACACACGGGCACACACACATGCACAGACATACACATGTACACACACATGTACATGTACACACACATACACATACACACACACACACACACACACACACACACACACACACACACATGCGAGCGAGCACATACACAGTCAGTCCTGTCTCCTGCTGCACGGTTGCTGAGAAAGCATTTTTAACCACTGAGTGGCTCTCGATTGCTAGCCCCTTGGATGTTCATTTTACTTAAAAATTGACAAGAAATTTAATAAAAAAGAATTAATTTATAAATAAAGAGATACTTTGGGAGGTAAGAAGAAATATGCATATCATGCTCTTAAGTGAAAACTTCATTGTTCTAAAACTATGAAGACTAACATCAAAATCAGGTGGCCAAGATAAAAAATTGAAAATGATTTCAAGTCTGCCTTCCTAGAAAACTTCAGTCAGGTGGTGGTGATGTATACCTTTAATCAGGAGGCAGAGGCAGGAGGATCTCAGAGTTCAAGGACAGCCTGGTCTACAAAGTGAGCTCCAGGACAGCCAGGGATACACAGAGAAATCCTGTCTCAAAAAAAAAAAAAACAATAACAAAAACAAAAACAAAAACAACCCAAACAAACTAGGAAAAAAAACAACAACTCCACAGTTTGTCTAGATCCAAAGAGTGTTACATCACAGGACACAGTGGTGACACAGGACTGTGAAATGCATGCAAAACCTGAAGTACAGGAGCCCACAGGGCAGTTTCTTTCATGCCACATGAAAGTGACTGCGCCTGTGAGGTGGCACATGCTTCTAAGGCCAGCACTCCCAAGGCTGGGGCAGGGAGGAAGTACTGTATCTGAGGCCATACAGTGTGAGACCATGAAGAAAACCAAAGGAACCACCTAAATAAGATTTTTTCTTTATCACTCTACCTGCAACAGCTAATAAATGTTTATTCTTTTTTGTTTGTTTGAGGCAGAATTTCTCTCTTTAGCTCTGGCTGGCATCAAACTTGCTATGAAGGCCAGGCTGGCCTCTCCATCTCGAGTGCTGAGATTAAAGATGTGTGCCACCACCCCAGCTCAGACTTTTTATTGCTAAGAATAGTTCACTGTGTTCTATGATATTTTTATGATAAATGTGTCATGTTTATTAGCTTGTTATTCTTTAGCTTATAGCTGAAGAAGCCCATAGCTTAAGAAATGGTAAGTGACCTGTGTAAGCTCACAGAACACCAGCGGACTCCTAGTTACCAGGTCTGTGAATATTCAATACATAAGCACACTGTTTTCTACATAACAACAGTAAGCTCTGTCCCATGCTGTGTCCTGCTCTGAATTTTCTGTAAAGTTTCATATTAATATTACCTCGGTTGTTTGGACTATTAAACATTTTAGGAGGGGTGACTTCTGAATTCACAGGATGGCCATTCTGAGATGCTTCATTCTGAATGAACGATGGAAGATACTTTCTTTCTGGAGGGTTAAGATAGCTTCCAATTACACTATGTGATAATTCAGGATCCATTGTCTGTGGGAAATGAAAGAGACAGTATAGTATCACTATTCCATCTGAAAGACAGATTCATTACATAAAAATGATGCAACACAGTTATATGCTACATGATTTTATCTTTACAAACTTATAACTTCAACTAGATTAAACTCAGCAGCAACAGAATGAAAAATGGCTATTGTGATAGTTTGAATGTAACTGGCTCCCATAAGCTTATAGGCAGTGGCACTATTAGGAGGTGTGGCCTTGTTGGAGGAAGTGTGTCACTGTGGGGGTGGGCTTTGATGTCTCCTATGCTCAAGCTATACCTAGTTCAGTTCACTTCCTGCTGCCTAAATTTGCATATGAAAATGTAAGACTCTCAGCTCCTTCTCCAGCACCATGTCTGCCTGTACACTGCTATGTCCTGTAGGGACTGAACCTCTAAACTGTAAGCCACCCCAATTAAATGTTTTCCTTTATAAGAGTTTCTGTCATCACAGTGTCTCTTCACAGCCACTGAAACCCTAAGGCAGTCTTGTTCATAGACCACACTGGTCATGAACTTATGAGCCTCCCTCCTTGGCTCCAGAGAGCAGGGACTGCAGGTATGCATCATAACACGTCTTGAAATTCCCATCTTATGTTTTCATTTTTTGCATTAGAGCCAGGGCCTTGTGCATGCCTGACAAGTACTCTACCAGTGAGTTATACTGTAGCAATTCCTGGTTTTAAATTCACATTTCATAGAAATGAGACATTCTTCTAGGTTGATTTTTAATCACTGTTTTCTGGGAATGTGACTCAATGGTGGAGTGCTTATGCAGCATGTGAAAGCCCTTGTTCCAACCTCCTGCATCACAAACACCCACACCCTTTTGCTAAGATGATTCTGCTCAGGCTTCTGCAGTGCCTGAACCCCATTTAACCAAACTCTTAGAGACTTGTTTTTGTATGTTTGTTTGTTTTTTGATGAGCTACAAATTCAAACTTGAAATTCACACAAGCAAGGACTATGATGAAGAGTTCTGTCTCAGGACAGAAGGGCTGGTACTCCAGTCAAAGTCAAGGTTGAGAATGGGCGTGAGGGTCTGGAGTTGGTTTGAAGAGCTGGTTATTCTTAAACCATCCATACCAAGTTTGACCGTTTGGGTGTCTCTACTGTACTGCCTGAACTTCTCACTAATAACACCAGGCAACTTCTTCTTCTCCTGAAAGCCCAGGTTCTGAGGCAAGGAAACTCAGAATCAGAAGGCAGCAGCAGCAGCAAACGGGCTCACCTACCCCTACGCAAATGGGCTGCCTCCCTAAGCAGGGCCACATTGTTTTCTTTCTTTGGTGCCAATTCAGTCAATATCTTAAATGCTTTTTACATATTTTTTCACATATCTTTACAAGAGAAGTGTCTATCTAATCTGTGAGTTGCCTGAGAAAAGACAATATAATTACTTTAGAAATTCTTTAGAGATAGAATACACACACAAATAAAAGCTTCTCTATCTGCCATTCCAGTTCCAAATTTATTACATATTATAAAATGTGTTCTCCATTGATCTCAATGAAGTAAATGATAAGATTGATCATTCATTAAACAGCCAGTTCAAAGGAAAACAGATTATACTGTAAACACCTATAGACTGAGTAAGAAGTATCAACATAATTATAAACATAACTATATTTGTAATACTATATATTATAACTTCAAGCTTAAAAAATAGCAGTGACTTCATAGAACCATTCATAATGCCCATTAAATTTCAGAAACTCAGAATAAAATAAAATGTGTTAATAGGATCACTTATATTTAATATACTGATCTTTAGACATTGAAAATGATCTATTGAGCCGGGCAGTGGTGGCGCACACCTTTAATCCCAGCACTCGGGAGGCAGAGGCAGGCGGATCTCTGTGAGTTCGAGGCCAGCCTGGTCTACAAGAGCTAGTTCCAGGACAGCCTCCAAAGTTACAGAGAAACCCTGTCTTAAAAAAAAAAAAAGAAAATGATCTACTGAATATAATTTGTAATTGACTTTAAAATGAGCTTTTGTGCATTTGAAAGAGAAAAAGTCCCCATTTTGTACCATCACAGTAAGATGAGTCCTGGTAAGAAACACCAGTGGATGAAAAATCCAGGGCAAACTTTTGATAAGTGGGATATTTTGCATAATCTTATAGTAAAGCTGCATTGGTTGCTCATAATATGCAGAAAAAAAGTTATATAGAAAAATATCAGTGGCCAGGTGTTGGTGGCACACACCTTTAATCCCAACACTCGGGAGGCAGAGGCAGGTGGATCTCTGTGAGTTTGAGGCTAGCCTGGTCTACAGAGCGAGTTTCAGGACAGCCTCCAAAACAATAGAGAGAAACCCTGTCTCGAAAAACCAAAATAACAAACAAAAAACAAAAAACAACAAAAACAGTGATCCGTTGATTAAAACGAGCATTGCCTGTGAGGAGCAGTGGTCACCACATGCCTTTTGATAGGAAGTCCTAAGGAGCACACAGCAGCACCCAAGCTGGCCAGAGGGCATCTGAATGGCAAATGGGAAACCCTACAAAAACCCCAAATGGTAATCATCCAGTTTTCAAAAGGGAGGAGGTGGGCAGTAATTACATTCTTCAAACGGGTCAATTTCATAAACACAATCGTGTGTCCAGAAATAAATCCCAAAGAGCTGAAAGCGGACTCTCAAGATGCCGAGGCCAGTGTACACTTATCACCCTATCCCAGCCAGAGCATGGAGAGTATGAGTTTGATGCTATCCTGGGCCACAGAGGAATGTCTAGTCTAAAACAAGCAAACAGAAAGGAAGAAGAGATAGCTAGCAATATTTACCAGCCTACAAATCTCCATTGGCAGGTGAACAAAACAGAGCATTATAATGTACACACAAAATAGAATGCTAACCTTGAAAAGAGGCAAATTCTGACATGCACTGTACCAGTGGCCTCAAGGACATTACGTTAAATGAAACAAGCCCAACACAAGCGACAACACCGTATCATTGCATTTACATGGGGGCATCTACCGTAGTCCAGCTGAGAAGTAAAAAGCAGAAGGGTGGCCCCAGAAAGGAGTGAGTGAGCTCTAGTTTCAGTTTTTCCAGAGTACATTCTGGGGACTGGATGCACGGCAATGTGTGCTGCGGTGAGAAACGCATCTATGGGTTCCAGAAGAAAAGCAGACCACAGAGTGCCATGATGGGAGTGCAGAAGGAAAACTGCTTAGCTTTCAGCGACTGACAGGGCTGTTTAGATAAACACAGTGGACTCAACACAGTCACCGACTTTTGCTCTCTCTCGTAGCCCACTAAAACAAGATTAAAACGATTTTCAAAGAGAAATAAAAACATGCAAAGATATCAGAAGAGTAACAACCACACTCTGGAAAGAGCAAGCATGATGGGGGAAGTCCTTCTGTATATACGTTTGTTTGATTGGTTGATAAAAAAAGAATTGTTGGCCAATAGGGACGCAAGATAGGCGGGACTAGGAGTTGAGGAGGATTCTGGGAAATGTAGTCAAGAGGAGAGAGTCGCCATGTGACCCTGGGAGGAGAGGACGCAACTCTGGCATTCTCAGGAAGCTAAGAACTTATAAAATATATATATATATATTAGTAATTATGGGTTAATAATTAAGTCGGAACTAGCCATTAAGAAACCATAGCAAATGGCCAACAGCTTTATAACTAGTACAGTGTCCTGAGTGTTCATTCGGGATGGATGCGGCTCAGGGAACAGGCTGGCGGGAAGAATACACACTACCAAGCAGACCAATAAACAGCAATGAAGAAGCAGACCCAGCCCAAACAAGCAGGGTGACGTAACTTCAGCTCTCAGAATCCACACCTCTTCAGGTGGCAGTCAAGACTGGAGACTGGAGAGGTGGGTGGAACTGAAAAGGAATTCCAGTTCCATGCCCCGCCCGCCCTCCACTCACTCCGCTGTCCCATCTCTTCCAGCACCTTCACCTGGGTGCCATATCCTCAACTGGGAAGATAGCAATTTTTGATTCTTTCTTGCTTTTTTTCCTCTTCCACCTCTTTTCTTTTAAAAAGGAAATCAGAGTATCTTTAAATGGGGAGGCACAAGGGTATCAGGCTGAAGCAGCTGTATAGTTAACCGGGCAGCAGAGGCTGCATCTGAAGATTTTGGTTTGGTGAGCAATTAGGCCCCCAAGGAGAGGGTAAAGAACAAATTTTCAGGATCTTACAGGAATCCACACCAGGTGGGTAACTGAGGTTCCCCACTGTCTACTGAAGAACTCAGTCATTAAGGCAAACTTTTTAAGTTAAGAGTCAGAGATTCTGGAGGCAACAAGGACTACACTCAGAACACTAAATACAAAGAAACAAATGAAGGAAGAAAACCATTTGAGGAAGATCATTCATCAAATATGGGTGTGGGGGCAGGGAAAATGGAACAAACAGATTCAAACAGAGAACAAGCAATAATTTAGTATCTGTGTACAATACTCTCTGTTCACATGGCATGAGGGCTTCTAGTATCACTGATGAATTACACTACCAGTCAAAATAAAAGAGTGGGAGTGCCGGGCGCTGGTGGCGCACACCTTTAATCCCAGCACTCGGGAGGCAGAGGCAGGAGGATCTATGTGAGTTCAAGACCAGCCTGGTGTACAAGAGCTAGTTCAAAGACAGCATCCAAACCCGAAGAGAAACCCTGTCTCGAACTCTTTCCCCCAAAAAGTGGGAGCATACAAGTGAGTCAACAGCAAACTCAGTCAAATTGGTTTGCTTATGTCATAACTAGGACTAGACATAAAAATCTGCCTGCCCCTGCCTCCTGAGTGCTAGGATTAAAGGCACGTGCCACAACAGCCTGCCTAAATCTATAAAATCAATAGAAGAAAAAAAATGATAAAGAACATCAAAAATAAAAATTAGTAAAATAAATAAGCAATATCAAATAAATATGACTTTTCTATCACATACTATAAAACTTGCATCTAAGACAAGGAATAAAACTTTTCTCTCTCCTTCTCTAATACCCACCCTGCATGCATTGCTCCAT